ACCAATTCTTTTAACATTGGCCATTAGAAGTATGTATTTCCAAGATAGAAATTGCAAGTTTGGTAGGTTTTGAAGCTTCAATAAGGTTATATGTCGGAAAGACAAAATTGATAACCTACATTTGCCACCTCCTCTTTTGCCAATCTCTTCTCTAAACTTTACAATCCCAATCATTAGTTTTGGGTGGTGGAGACTTTTGGCTATGGAAGATGGAACATGCTATTTTATTGTTTCGCAATTCCACAAGAACAAGTGTGTCCAATTTTGATAGAAGGAAATTGGATGTTGGTTTGTAGGAAATCTCTGTAGAATTGAGCTTTGAATGTCCATAACCTTCATTCAGAGAAATGTCCTACAGTAAAAGTTAATAGTTGTTTCAATAATAAAGTAATTAAAAATATAATTATTGTTTATGATATTTTAGAAAAATGTGTCTTTTTGTAACTTAATAATTTTCTCAAAGGCCTAGGCCCAAAGTAAAACAAATACTAATATAATAATGTCATCCCGAACCTACAATCGTTTTTTATTCAACTAAGGTCAATACTTAAAATTGTTTTCTTGTCTTCTTAGTGTATGCACTTGTATGGATAACTAACAAAAACTCTTCATCTACTTATTACTTGCAGTCTTGTAGCTAAAATAAATATAATATTATAAAATATATATAAAAAATTGCAAAAATAAGTAAATATTAAACTAATTATTTTAACATACCTGTTTCTTGTATTCTCCTTGTATTCTTTTATTAAGATCATTCCCCTCATTTCTCTACCTTCCTTTATTTTCTCCAACATTCGGTTAGTCCTTATCCAGCCTTCATAATTGACTTTGGTATAACTTTGGTTTACTTAAGATTCCTTGAGAGAAAGTTTCATATTGGGGCATTCTCCTATAGTTAACTCTTCCAAAGATGGGCAATTGAAGAGTAATTCCCCCCCGGAAGACAAAAACATATGAGAGTGTTTCTAACATTCTAAATAACAACTTCTTCAAATTTTCAAAACAAATCAGTACCATGTGCTCCTTGCCCTCATTTTCTACTATTTTCTGTCACCATTTCACATCCCTCTACTCTCAATTCTCTCAACTGCACCAAGCTCCTAGTCGTTGAAGGTGTCATAACGTTATCAACTTTCTGCAATGACTTACATCCAAAACTTTAAGATTCTGGAGAAGAGCAAAGGATGGTCCTAAAGTGATATGCATATTCCTCATCCTTCCACGTGAGAAAAATTCTTTGTATTCACCAAGTTAGTTAAGCACTTCCAAATTTTTGCAAATCTTCTGAAAGGAGCCCCAAGGGAAATATTGTGTGAACTCATTACTTTCGATTCTCAAGAGTGTGATTTTTAATTGACTTTGCCATTTTAATTCTGTTCCCCCGCCTCATTTGTTAAAGACAAATCTTCCAAATTAGAGTTGATCTACAAATCCATTGAAACAAAAATCTAATTAGCTTTTTAATCATTATTCGAATAATGTAAAAATCTATGGCTGGTAAACAATACCCAAATTCATTATAAATGAAGATTCATGGATCTTCAAAAGTAACGAATTAGATGATTGGTGAGAGAGAAGAATATGAAAAAGTGTTAAATCTCTTTTTGAAGGAAAATCTTAAAAAGTTAATTAATTTGATAATGTCACAGTCACGTCACCCCATGGTTTATGTGAGTCTCCTTGACATTATATCATTTTAAAGATTTGCTTCTTCTCTTATGTTTGTTGGATTCTTTTAGATTTTGGGTTTGTGAATTGGGCCTGAGCCCATTTTGTTCCATCCATACTTAATCACCTTCCACTATTCTGGTTTCTTCATTACTGCTTCAGTTACAATTTCCAAGTTTTTCTTTATATTTTAAACATAGAACCATTGAAATTGGTTTAAATTAATTGTGAGAAGGACAAAGGGTAATTGCATATGATTCTTTAATTTACTGGTCAAATTAATTTCATAAAAGACACTACTATCCTATGAAAACTAAACATGATCTAAACAAACTTGTCTTTTCATGACATGTATAGAAAAAAGGAGTCCATTTTTGTCATTCTCCCTATTATTATATGGGTGTTTATGTCTTATAATTTTCTCTCTTAAATTTAATGTTAACTAACGTAATTTTGTCCTTTTTAAACTGATATTAAATAATTTTAAATTTGTGATCTGGTTTTCAATCATAAGAAGGATTACTTGTTAGACACTTTTTTAGTAAAAATAAAGCGACCATTATTAATTGAGGGATAATGTATTAAGAAACTATAAGCAAAAGAAGATAAGTTCCAAATAGTTTTAAAAAAGGATAAAATGTTATTAGAGATTATTAGATTTAACATTTTGTAAGGTATAATTCTATACAACTTTAAAATATTTTTAGTTGAAAAGTAAATTTATATAAAATAATAATAATTAAAAGATTTATTATTTTTATAATAATTTAAAAAAAAAAAAAAAGTAAATTAAGCAGGGGCCTTGGCCAGCCGCGCACCACTTGCAAGGCCAGCCATGTTGTGAGAGGAGGGATTTGGCAGCTGCAAATTGTGAGTTGAATGACTTTGGTTTTGGGGAAGTCATTAATCAGTTGATAATATCTATATCTTCTCCAATACAAACTTAAAATATTAATAACAAAAGGTTGTCCTCCAATTGATAATATCCGAAAATAAAATCATACTGATAATTTCTAGTAAACTTTTGATAATTTATAGAATTATATTGGATGATTTTAACATAGTACTTTAATGAGTTTAATTGACAAGACTCCAGTAACAAAATTGTCCAAATCCAACTAACCATTAATTTATATTTCTTTTTACTAAATTATTGTTAAAAACAAAAAGATGTTAAAAGTCACATTATTAAGTTCTAATTTATGTAATATATATAAAACAAAGGTTTTTTTCTTTTTAAATAAAGAAGTAAACAAGAGATTCGTACCTTATGCTCCAAGTAGAGGGATTTTGGCTCTGAAATATGAAATGATTTTTCTTGGAATCTTAGATATTTTGAAGTGAATTTTTCACAATCCTTGATCATCAATGTTTTTAACATCGGCAATTCACAAGTATGTATCCCAGGATAGAAAGCTGTAAGTTTTGGTAAACAATGAAGCCTCAAATAGGTAACCTGCAGAAAGGCAAAATTAACAACAGCTTTTGGTCTTTCTTCTTCCGCAACAATCTCCTCTAAAACCTTACAATACTCTATCTCAAGGTGTTGTAGATTCCGAAGGCTTTTGGCAATGGAAGAGGCAATGGAAGATGGAAACACATATTTTATTTTTTGACAACTCCTCAAGATAAAGCGTGTTAAATTTTGATAGGAGGAAGAATAAAGTTTTGGAAATTGGTTGTCCCAAATCTTTCCAGAACTAATATTCTTCAATTCCAAGGCCATCAAATTGGTGAAAATAACCTGCAATCAAAGTCAATTGTTGTTTCAATATTTACGAACTCATATGAGATAAATTTAAAAAAGAAATAATTGATTCTTATGAATTTATAGATGACATGCCTTGAATATTTAAAATGTGTTTTTTTAGTCTCTAATAATTTTCATCATGGAATCAAGCATGAATTAATTAAATCAATTCAACAAAAATTAAGAGAAGTATTTACTAGTGAAATTTAACTGAAAATGTAAATCACCAAAATAAAAGGCAAAAAGAGAAGCACAAACAAATCAATACCCCAACAATATGTTAACAAATGAGAAAAAACATAAGAGAAGAAAAACACAATTGGGCCTAAGCCCATTTTGTTCCATCCATACTCAATCACCTTCCACTATTCTTGTTTCTTCATTACTGCTTCAGTTACACTTTCCAAGTTTTTCTTTATATTTTAAATATAGAACCATAGAAATTGGTTTAAATTAACTGTGAGAAGGACAAAGGGTAATTGCATATGATTCTTTAATTTACTGGTCAAATTAATTTCATAAAAGACACTACCATCCTATGAAAACTAAACATATTTTAAACAAACTTGTCTTTTTATGGCGTGTATAGAAAAAAAGAGTCCATTTTTGTCATTCTCCCGATTATTATATGGGTGTTTATGTCTTATAATTTTCTCTCTTAAATTTACTGGTAACTAATGTAATTTTGTCCTTTTTAAACTAATATTAAATAATTTTGAATTTGTGATCTTGTTTCCAATCATAAGAAGGGTCACTTGTTACACTTTTTTAGTAAAAATAAAGAGACCGTTATCAATTGAGGGATAATGTACATAGAAACTATAAGAAAAAGAAGACAAGTTCCAAATAGTTTTAAAAAGGGCTAAAATGTTATTAGAGATTATTAGATTTAACATTTTGTAAGGGTATAATTCTATACAACTTTAAAATATTTTTAGTTGAAAAGTAAATTTATATAAAACAATAATAATTAAAAGATTTATTATTTTTATATAATGCCATATAATCCCTTTCCCACCATTCCGTAATTCAAGTATCTCCAAATTGTGATTGATCTACAGATCCATCAAAAACAAAATCCAATTAGCTTTTTAATTATATATTTAAAACAAAAGTTTAGTTATTGGCTCAAAAGTCATAGGCCAAACCCAAAAGTTTAGCTTTTTTTGAAGTTTTTCTAGTTTTATCTTCTATTTTTGAAATATTCTTGTTTAATCTTTCCTTTTGGTATGAAATGTCAGTTTTAACTCATATGAAAAAAAAAAAAAAATCGATTCTTATGGATTTATAGATGACATGCCATTAATATTTACGATGTGTTTTTTGGTCTCTAATAAATTTCATCATGGAATCAAGCATGAATGAATGAAATCAATTCAATAGAAATTACGCAGTATAGAGATTGAAAGAGAAGTATTTACTTATGAAATTTAACTGAAAACGTAAATTACCAGAAAAAATGCAAAAAGAGAAGAACAAACAAATCAATACCACAACTATGCATAAACAAATGAGAAAAAAGTATAAGAGAAGAAAATAAGAATATATATAATAGACAAGTACAAGAGGTCATAGTCAATCAAACCTTTTCATTAAGAAGAGTGACAAACTCATCCTCCAAGTTGATATGTATGCCAAGATAGAAAGCTATAAGTTTTGGTAAATTCTCAAGCTTCAAATAGGTAACTTGTGGAAATGCAAAATTAACAGCTTTTGCTCCTTCTTCTTTTGCAACAATATCCTCTAAAACCTCACAATCCTTTATCTCAAGGTGCTGTAGAGTCTGGAGGCTTTTGGCAATGGAAGATGGAAACACATATTTTATTTTTCCACATCTCTCCAAGATAAAGCGTGTCAAATTCTGATAGGAGGAAGACATAAATGTTGGAAATTTGTTGTCCCAAATCTTTCCATGACTAATATTCCTCAATTCCAAGGCCATCAAATTGGTGAAAACAACCTGCAATCAAAGTACTTGCTGTTTCAATTTTACGAACTCATGTGAGATAAATTTAAAAAAGAAATAATTGATTCTTATGGATTTATAGATGACATGCCATTAATATTTACGATGTGTTTTTTTTGTCTCTAATAAATTTCATCATGGAATCAAGCATGAATTAATGAAACCAATTCGACCTAAATTACGCAGTATCGAGATTGAAAGAGAAGTATTTACTAGTGAAATTTAACTGAATATGTAAATTACCATAAAAAAAGCACAAAAAAGAGAAGAAACAAATCAATATGATAACTATGTGTTAACAAATGCGAAAAGGCATAAGAGAAAAAAATAAGAATATATATAATAGACAAGTACAAGAGGTTATAGTCAATCAAACCTTTTCATTAAGAAGTGGCGTGAGAGTGACAAAATCATTAAAACTGAGAATGACAGAACCATAAAAATTGCCCTCAACATCTGAAAAATTGGCTAAGCGTAAGAGTTTAACATTTCTGATTCCTCGTAATTCTTCTAAGCAGATGGTAGAATTAAGTTTCAATTCGAACATCCTCGAACCCTCATCTTTGTTATATCCTATAAAACGTTCGAACCACTCACCTCCTACTGATATTTTGTACCTTTTAAGCTCTTTGGAAAAGAAGTCTTTAGGCAATACCTTATTATCTTTAATATCTAATTCTAAACTAGCCAATTCAGACAAGAGCTTCAATTCCTCGAGTAATTCAACCTTCCACTGAATAGAGCATCTCTTTATATACAATTCTTCCAGTCGGGATAATTTTGATATCACATTTGGCACAATAACTTCTAATCGCCAACAATTGCTTAAATCCAATAACCTTAGTTGAGTCAATTGACCCAATTCTGTTGGCAATTCGTTGATAGATGAATTTCGCAAGCTAAGAACTTTTAGCTTCTTTAGCTTTCCAATAATAGCAACATCTTTAATGTTGCTACCACTTAAACACAAAGTTTGAAGGTTTATCAGAAGATCAAGTGACGATGGCAACATCGATTGCTGCATTCTATATAAAATAAAAACTTTGAGCTTTGGCATCACCGTGAAAAAATCCTCTGGGATTTTGAAAGAAGAACCCCATATAGTGGTCATATAGAAATATTCAAGATTTGGACAATCCAGATCATTAGGCCATAACTTACTAATAACTGTACTACTATCAGTTAAGGAGATTTTAGTGCATTTCTTGAGCTTATCTGTATCCTTCCATTCCCTTTCAACATCATTTCTCCCTGTAAATACATGGTGGTCTGTATATGAAACTATAACAGCAACAGCACGGACAACATCATGCATAGATAATTGTTCGCTTGTGAAACCGTCAGTTAACAAACAAGAGTCTTTCAAGTCGCGAACCAATGTATCTAATCTATCCCTTGCTTCTTCCATTTTCAGGTTAGCTCCTTCAAGTATATCCAATCCCACAATATGTATGAAAAAGTCTGAAATGGAAGTATTATTTTCCATTAGACTAGAAATTAAAAAAGTTTTCTTGAGCTCATCATCTCTTAAATATTTGTAACTCAAGGCGATCTTCATGTATTCCTTTTCCAGTAATCCTGTGAACTTTGTCGGTGAAGGCGCTTTTAATTCTCTCAAGGCAACTTTCCAATCAGATGGACGACGCTGGCTCTTTAATGCTTTTGCTATAGTACAAATGACAATAGGCAAGCCTCCACATTCCTTACATACATCTTGTGGCAAAGAATTCAATTCACAAGTTGGAATTTCACCACCTACACAGGAAGCTAGGATTATACTAATTGCATTGTCTCTTTATATGCTTTGGATTTAAAAACAAGAAAAGTTCCAAGTGTTGTTATTTTCCCTCTAGCCATCGTATTTGATTGTTTTCTAAATAAAACCATAAAAAAAAATTGAAAATAAAAATAAACTACACTTAATTCCGAATAGTACTCCTTTCCACTCTTCATCTCTAAAATCGTCTTATCAAGAGCTTTAAGACAGTTTTTATAATAGGAGTTGCACTAAGCACTACAATTAACTAATGATATCTATTAAAAATAATTCAAATATAAAGAATTAGTCTAAAACATATATCTTAATGAATATACTTTAAATTTCATATTCATCTTTTTAAAAAGAAGTGTAACAAATTTCAAAATAGAAGATTGAAGATGTAGAAATCGGAATAGAAATTAAGAGGATCTAAGGTGTGACAACATCTTAAAAGCAAAACAGTGCCATTTATTAGTACATGAAATTTGACTTTTCAAGTTTAAAAATTTACATTATTAAATTTATATTATGTACACTATTATATGGTTGTGTAATTATATAGAGACAAAATACGGTTATTAGATTTAAAAAAATAAAAAGGTAGATTAAATATGAATAAGTTGCACTAAAAAGATAAAACAAGATTTAATATTTGAAACTACCTTTCTAACCCTTTATATTTTATATAAAAGGGACAGTTAAGTCTTTCCTTTTTTTGCAACGTTTTCAAGGGCAAATATGGGATTCCATTACTATATCATTGTTAGATGTCAAAAGTTATAATAACTAATTAACGTCAGGGTTTTCTTTTGTTATTTAGAATAATACAAGGGGATTTTTATAATTTGCTTTAATCTTGGAGGATGACTAAAACCCAAAAATTAAATTATTACAAAATAAAATATTAGAAAAATTAAAAAGATCCCGTACCCCACTTTCCTCGGCCAAACCCCACTTAGCAGCCCAAACCGTGGGCAAGCCGCAACCAAATCCCCACCCCCAAAGAGTGTAGGTGATTTGTATGATAACTTTTTTATTTTTCTTTCACCTTTTTTTCCTCAAATTTCTTAAAGAAAAATATATGATTTTGGTAGGATGATTAGAAATTTGCTGATTATAATTATATGGTTATAACTGTTAATGGTGGTGATTGGTTTGAAAAGTGGTAGCAGTTATGTCGTATGTTCTGAAGGTGGTTGTGATTTTTAAAGAGATGGTAGTGAAGAGGCAGTGGTGATGTTTTGGGTATTGACTTTTTTCTAAACAAGAAAATTTCTAAATGTTGTTATTTTCCCTCTAGCAATCTTCTTAGACTTTTTTCTAAACAGACCATAAAAAATATTTGAAAATAAAAATAAAATGCACTAAATTCCAAATAAAATTCTTTTCCACTCTTCATCTCTAAAATCATAGAAATACATTTGTCTTATCAAGAACTTTAAGACCATATTTATAGAAAAGAAAAATAAATGATGAGAAATGGGGAAATGTAAAATAAAGCTGCCAAGTCAATTCTCATTACTGTGAATTTAGGCTGAAAATAATAAAACTAATTCAAATATTAATGAATATACTTTAAATTTAAGTCAGAAAGTAATGTTTAGGTCCATAAATTATTCCCTGTTGACGGACAGCCATTATAAAACCTTGAAAAACTCGAGTGAAGGGCAGAGAAGTATTTACATAGTGTATTAATTAAGATAAATAAAACCCTAGAAATCTTATTCCTAACCCATTCACTCTTTCTTATCGCCACACCTCCACCCCTATTCCCATTAAACCCATCTTCTTCCTCAGAAAACTCAGCGACACCTGGGGTGGTTTTTTTATGCATCAATTTTGGCTAGGGAGGTTGTTTTAAACCTGGGTGGTGGTGTTGTTGATCTTGTGAAGTTGATTTGATTGGTCATCTGGTTTTGTTGTGGCTGATGTGGTGGTGGTGGTTTAAGGGGTGGTGGTCTGTGGTGTGGCTGCAATGGGGATGTGTTGTGCTGTGGGTGCAATGGAGATATGCTGTGGTGTGCGTGTAATGGAAGTGTCCTGCACTTTGTGTGTTGTGGTGCTCCGCTGGAGGCCAATGGGTGCGGCAATGGTCATCATCTGATTTGCTGTGGTTGTTGTGGTGGTGGTCTAAAGGGTGGGCTGTGGTGTGGGTGCAATGGCGATGGTTGTGTTGTGGATGCAATGGCGATGGCTCTGGTGTGGATGAAATGGAGGAGATGGCAATAATTTGGAGGTGCGGTGGTGGTGCACGGGGAGGCTATGGGTGTGACAGAGGTTGTCAGTCGCTACCGTAGGGGTGGGTGAGGTTTGTAACTACTGGGTTTTAGCAGGAGTGGAGGTTACGAAATTAAAAATGAGAAAGAACAAAAAAAGTTAATTGAATTATTTTTCAAAAGAATCAGATTAAAAAATGAATAAAAAGAAAAAGAAAAAAAATACGGTTATTAGATTAAAATATAAATGAGTTACACTCAATCCCAGCCAAACCCCACCCAGCAGCTCCAACCTCTTCCCAACCAAAGAGTGTAGGTGATTTGTATGATAACCTTTTTCTTTTTATGATTCTGGGTTTATAATTATATGATTGTGGCTATTAATGGTGGTGGTGGTGGTGGTGGGTGGGTTTGAAAAAGCGGCGGTAGTGATGTCGTATGTATGGAAGGTTGTTATTTTTTAAGAGAGGGTAGTGAAGAGGCAGTGGTGATAGGTTGTTTTCTTGTAAGTGATGGTCGTTGGTTGGGGTGGTTGACAGTGGCGACAGACTTGTGCTGTCGTGGCAACCTGTGGTTGATATATGATAAGGACCTAACTGATACTTTCTATTTTTACTGGACCCAATGAATTAGGCCAAACCTCATGGACCAAAATGGATTTGCCTCGGGAAAAATAAATACAGGTTTTGCTAAGAGATTAGTTAGAAAGATCAGTTCAAATAAAATGAGACTAGCTTGTAATTAGAAAATAGCCCTATGTTAGAATTGTTTCTGCATATGGAAATTAAACATAGAAATTTAATTAGAGCATAAACAAAACTAATGTCAAATGAATTTTCCCAAAAAAATAATTAAATTAAATTATATTTCTTTTTTTTAATGAGAGGTTACGAAGATTAGTCAATTTTGCCCCTAGGTTAGCACTACTATTCTATCAACGGAGTAATTATAGAGATTTTGAAAAAATTTCATGTTATTACTACTTTTAACTTTTTATTTATTCATGTCAAACCATAACACAAATTTTATGTGTTATCAAATTAAAATGAGTTATAATAATTACCTGCCATTTTCTGGAATAGACTCCAAGCTTCTTCTTCATTTAAAATGCCCATCCCCAAATTTTTTGTAGAACCCATCTTCTCCAACACATCAACGTTTCTTGTTGTCATCAATATTTTATTTCTTCCACGATCAGCTAGAGAAGGAATTCCTACAATCTTCAAATCTAGCTCTACCCAAATATTATCTATGATTAAAAGGATATTCCTCTTCTCCATTCTTGAGTATAACTTGCTTGCTCTTTGACTCCCATCTTCCATTGCATCTTCGAATTTGAGACATAACTTGTTTGCAATAACTGTTTGAATTTTTTTTGTATCTGGAGTTTCTGTTACCTGCAAAACAGAGAATCACAAAATATAATAATAAAAATAAAATCTTAAACAAATATCTGTGTTTTTTTTTTTTTTAAAAAAGATATTCATCTATTAAAAAAAATAACCTAATAACAAAGTAAACCTTAAAAGATAAATTCAGCTAAGATATATAAAATTATAAATAAAATAACGAAAAAAAGGATTTCTTCATAAAAAAGGAACTATCGAATGCTTTTTTCTTGTTAATTATAATAAACGTCCTTATATAGAAGACTCAAGTCTAATTAATTTCACTCAAATAAAATTAATGACATAAATTAAATACTAATAATTATCACTCTAAATAAATATCTGAATGTAATAAAGTGAAACCCCTTAGTTTAAACATTACCTCAACAAAAACAATCTCATCGAAGAGCTTATCGTTGTCGGCTTTCCTACCGATTTCCTGCACAAGAGTGGTCTTGCCTAGACCACCCATCCCATAAACACCCATCATGTAGATTTCCTCATCTTGTAAAGCATCCCATACATTCTTCACAGTGGAGTTTCTTGATTCGAACGCCAAATAATCTTCATTAGATCTAAGCCATATCTCCTTGTGAATCGTAGGATGGGAAACTTTCTTGAAACTTATTTCTTGCTGCAGGAGTGGATCAATATTGTCCTCCATTAATTCGGATGCTGCCTTGCTATTTTGGTAGCGGCTCAAACAGTCAGTGCCAATTGAACTTTGGTTTTCAATCAACTCCTCTGCCTTAACAATGACAGAGTCAACATCATCTAGCCACTTTTTCACATTCTCTTCAATCACTTCCAAATTGTTTTTAGCCTCCTCAACCCGACGCTGCACTTTGCTTCTTGCATTCGTCAGCTTCAAAACATCATCTTGGAGCTTATCAAAGTTCTTCTCGTAGTTGCACAAGTACATAAATTGATTCCCAATCACACCTCCAAAGCAACTCCCAACTTTATAAATTACTTGCAAAATGCAACTTACAACCATTTTTTTAACCTTTTTCAGTGGTATCTGAAGGGATGAGAGAGGTTTCTGAGTGAAAGTGTGTTTTAGTGATTTCTGATAGATTGAGAGAGAGAAGAAAACTGAAGAAGAAGAAGAAGAAGAAGAAGAGATAACAGTGGATATCAATCAATTTCTGACTCTCTGGAGACCCACCACTTGAGCATCTATAAAAATCCAAAAGATTGAAAGGAGGAAGAAAAGACGAGGCGAAGAAAGCACTTAGAGTACTGCTTTCCAGCTGGAGTGCCAAGATGTTGCTCAGACTTACCAAATTGAAAATGTAAAATTTGTAACATGCATGAGCTTTATTTTCCGTATACCAAACGCGTTTATTATATGATTGTGAGTTTTTGTTAGGTCAAATTTAATTGAAAAGTGCATATTACTTCGCAGAGACTATTTTAACCTTGTTTTATGTGAAATTACAAAATATCATCCATTAACTATTAAGATTCACAATAAGACCATACTTACAATTTTTTTATACAATCTTGAGATAGCAGCTCCTGATTAGTTAATTTGTATTTAGGTAAACAAAAGCTACTGCAAACTGACCAATCGTGAACTGTCATATCAAGATTATATGAAAAAATTGTAAGCGTAGTGTTAGTTCTAAGATTTATGCTAACATAACTATTTAAAAAGTAAATTCAAAGAACCACTAAATTTTACAGGTCAATTGATTGTCTTCTCTATGGTTTTGGTCTAATGACACAATTATTTTTTATTAACAAAATTATCCCTCAACTTGACAGACAGTTAATGTGAAATTAACAAGTAGAGGATATATCTGACTTTTTAGTACTAATCAAAACCTTGTATTAATTATTCTTATTTATAAATTTATGTTTAATTCCTTAGACCAAATCTCACAAAATCAATTACTTGAAAAACCAAAATCTGTGCAAAACATATAAAAGTCACAGAGCAATCGTGGTGGATACGGCTCATGTGAAATTCATCAAAAACTGAAGCAACGCAATCGGTTACCGGAGCAGAATTGACAGGAGTCATATCTCCGTTAGCCACCAGGCACCAGGAATATTCACAGCTTTGAAATAGTCTTTTGGAGCTTTTAAATGGATTAAAAGTATTAGAAGACTTATGAACCAAGCCAAAAACATTCCTTTCTCCNTTGATCGTTATCTTATTGACAGTTCGACTGTCAATACACATTCTGCATGAGTCATCTTTCTTGGGTACTGTAAGTGTGGGCATTACACACAGACTCATACCCTCCTTGATAACTCCCTTAACAAGTAATTCTTGAACTTGCTTCTTAAGCTCGTCGTGCTCTTTAGGACTCATACAATAAGCAGCCTTGTTAGGAATGGTCGCTTCTAGCACAAATTCAATACAATGTTGGACGTTGTGCATTGGCGGCAAACCTGGTGGCATCTTCTTCGGAATCATATCGCTGAATTCCTCTAACACTAGTCACATTTGTTTTGGCACTTCGAATTGTTCTTCGTTCTCTTCAATAACGACTGAAGTAAAGACCTCTACTCTGCTGTCAATCTCTTCTACTATGTCGGCCTGCGACAAATAATGGTTTTCTTGTGAATCTCCAACATGCTTCAAATCTGTTGGTGCTAGAGTAATCTTCTTTCCATCCTTTTTCAACGAATAAGTATTCTTGTAACCATTATGCATAGCTCGACGATCATATTGCCACAATCTTTCGAACCAAATGTGGCATGCATCCATTGGAGTGACGTCACACCAGACCTCGTCTTCGTAACTCATCTGATTGAAAATTTTACAAGGCACCTCTAGTTGACTCATACTTCGTTACTCTTCTTAAACCATGAAAGTTTATATAGCCTCAGTTGTTCTTGTGTCTGCAAACTCAACTTATCAATCGGACTTGATGCGATCACGTTCTCACAACTTCCTTCGTCAATGATAATGTTGCACACTTTACCATATGCTGTGCATTTTGTGTGAAAGATATTGTTGTGAAGCCAAGAATCACCTTCGCCCAGGACCTCCACATTTAATGTCCTTTTGATGACCAAACATTCTCCCTGATAGCCATAAACAATCTCTCTCTCTTCCAACTCTCTTGACACTTCCTTGTCATAGATCGGTTCATCTTCTCATTCTTCAATTAGAGTAACAACTTGTCTACCAATGCCTGAGACCTTGACATTTGTAACATCCCTTATAGCTCACTTGTTCCACTTGCTTTCTTTTATTAGTGGGCTTAGACTTTTCCTTGAAATTCTGCTTGGCGTTCTTCTGTGAGCTTGAGCCCTCCCTTTCTACAAACTTTTTTGTCTAACGCGAAATACTTGTGTTTCTTGTTTTCAACTGCTTTTCCACTCTCATCGCTAAACGACAAACATCGTTGTACCCATAGTACTATTGTAGATACACCATATTAGACAAACTATCAAGCAGTAGTTTGTGATATTCAATATAGGCCTCTTTCCTATAGTTTGTGATATGCATAGCTCGACGATCATATTCCACTCTCATTCGCAAACCTTCCAAAAACCTTGTGATTGTCTGTCTTCCTCCACAACATCGCATTGCATTCTCATTCAATCAAACTCAGCGATGTAGTCTTCCACCGACAAACTACCTTGCGATAGGTTGTGATATTCAATATAGGCCTCTTTCCTACAGTGCTTGGGCACAAACTTGCGTACTAGCAGTTTCTTCATCTTTTCCCACGTCGTGATCTTAGGCTTTTGTTCTTAAGCTCGTTGCTTCTTGACATGTTCCCACCATGTAGAAGCATGTTTTCTTAAGCGAATAGTGATCACCTTCACCTTTTGTTCATCTGCGAACTCTTTAATATCAAAAAGTCTCTTGACTATATGCAACCAATCTAAAAAGTCATCTAGATGTGCTTTCCCATCGAACTTCGGAATCTCCACCTTCATACCAACGTTCAATGATAGAGTCCTTCGCCTTGGTTCATTCCGATAACCCCTCTCACTTAACGACTCTCTGAATGGGTTATCGTTCTCATCATTCTCACCACACTTTCAGTCGCCTCATCTGACCCATTCAAATGATTCCAGTCAGTTGAGTCCTCCAACTGTAAAACCCTTTGCCGGAGCTGCTTATTTTGCACCTGGGTTTCTTGAAGCAATCTTCTCAACTCGTTATTTTCTTCGATTGGCACAAGCCTCTTCCTCCAACTTTGGACCACAGACTCTTCCCCGACTGCTGTGTCTTCCATGGCCACAGACGTTACTGGTTTCTACCATTTCACAACTTAACACACAACTCTTTGAACTCAAAACTGAACAATAGAACTTGTTTTGACCAAAAATCTCTCCCAAAACCAAAACTTGCTCTTATACCAATACTAATGCAGGGAACTAGGGGTTAACTTGTCTCTACACAAGGTGGCGTGTTTAGTGGAGCTAAATTAGCGACTAGACAAACAATAGGATAGACACCCACTAAGGATTTATGACTTGATGAACGCCCACAAAGGACGGTGAACCCACAAAGGATTCTAGTTTTAGAGACCACAAAAGTTTATGAAAATATTCTCTATACATTTCTTCAAAAGTTGTGTTAACAATGTGAAAAGTGCCTTTATAAAGGCGCACAAAACCTTAATCGAAATCTGACACTTGCCCTAATCTTATCAACTTTAATGACAAGTGTCCCTACCTTTAAATCCCTACATACACGTGTACTATTCTAGAATAAAGCAAGATAAAACATTTACATGTAATTTTCTCTAAGTTATTCACTTCCCTAGTCGACCTCATTCAGCTCTTTGTAGCTCGCAGGTTGATTTTAGACAGATCGTTGATCGCTATAACGACCTGTCATGATGCTCTTGCATCAAGAACTCTGACCATTAACTTTGGCTAGAACATTAGCCATTAATGACGGCCAGTTCTGCCTGTAGATATGGCCATTTCTGGCTAAATATGTCATGGATCTGGTCAAAAATGGCTAGATTGACACAAGACTGATCAAATACGACTGATCATGCGCTGTTATGGCCACTGTCGGCAGCCGCCTGCAGTGGCTTGGGGTGAGTAGGGTGTTTTTGCTAAGTTTAAAACTTTTTTGGTTGTTGGGCTGTTTTAGCTGAATCTGAAATGTAAAGGGTTAAAAAATCATCTATAAAATAATAATAAAAATAATATTATATTAATATTTAAAAAGAAGGGCAATTTAGTCAATTATATAATATATCCACCAATTTATTCCAACCAACCAAACACATTTTCTGAAACAGTCTCAATAATCTTCAAGATAATTGAACTTTTCATTAATATAACATTCTCAGTAATATAACATTTCCTGAACTTAACACACTCTAAATTATTAGCAAATGCCACCAATACTAACATGTAATTCACCCAAGTTTCTTTTAATTATTTTTTATATAATAAACTTACATGTGTCAAACTTAAATTAAATTATTTATACCTTCTATTTTTTTTTTTTTTTCACATTTTAAAAATGGAATTTGTTACCTTCAATTACCTTTTACCTATTAGATTGACGTATCAATCTGATAAGCCCCCTATCAACAAGGTCTATCAATACAAGGGGCACAAGGGCAGAGGGGTGGGAGACGTGTGAAGCAACACTAAAGGTGCTCTCTAAAAGTTGTTATGCCAGTAGGATTCTGTTAGAGGAAATGCACGTGGCAGGAGGGTACGTGGAAGGAAATGGGTAAAGGTCATTAGTATAAGTAGGCAGTTAGAATAAGAATTAGGATTCTGATTATTCATTAAAAGGTTGTCAATGGAGGCCCCTAGCTCCTCGAATTGCTAGGACTTTCTTTTCTTGTTTTTTGCTTGTGTTGAGGGTGATTTGGGATTGATAGATCTCTTGTAATCTTCAATTAACATATAAANATCACTCAAAGCCATGCTGAAATCTGTACAGAACACAGGAGCTGGATATGTAGTTGAGTTTTGTGCCATTGAGAGTAAAGATGTTACAGAAGTTGAACAGGTGGACCCAAGAGAAATGGAAGTGGTGGAAGAATTCAG